CTCTGTTGTAGTAGTGTATTTTAGTGAAGTCTTGATTATGGTATTAATAAAAGGAATTTATAGAGAGCATCCAGAAGATTCTGTATGAAGGAATATGAGAATCTAAGTATAGGGGAGAGGAAGAGAAAAATCAGAAGTTCAGTGTCACATGCTCTAACAACAATATGGTCTTTAGGTCTTCTGGAGGTTGCTTAATTTCTTCTAATTTTTCCTTTCATGAAAAAGCTACCTAATCTGGTACTTTGTAACACATGAACAGTTATTCTTTGGCACTGAACACATGGGTCCATCTTCCTGACTGTCAGATATTTCCTTGAACTCCCAAGTCGGGGCCTGTCTGACATAACTACCTAGCCGTGTATCTTTTCCATGTTCGGAGTTCAAGCTGACGACAGTTCAACCAGATGACACTGAGACATCAGTGTTCTACAATTCAGGAAAGCACAGATTGATGGAACTCTGTGCACTTGGATTCTAAAGTCACCATTGTCATGGAAACCAAAATGTTCTGCAATTACCTTTTCTAGTAACTATCTTCATCATCTCTATGCATATATGCTTCTTGGAGCTCCGTTTCCTAAGTTTAAGGCAATATTTTTAATCAGAACCAATGTATTCCACTTATTTTCCTTATCACATTCTGTGGTTATCTATAAACTAAAGAGGATGACTAAGTCTGAATCCAATCAAGATTACCTTTTACTATTTGTGGGCTTAAGTTTGAAAACCCTTCCTCCATCGATGCTTGAAGTAATGACATACTAGGATTCTGTGCATTGAGTTACACATTCTCTCTGTCTTAACCAGAACGATTCAACTTACTCCTAAATTTTCAACATATGCTGGTTTTCCACAAAAGTTGATTTTAACAGAAAAGTGAATTTTATTATCCATTAACTGATCGCGTTAGCCACATAATATAGCACATGCAGAAACAGTTTTCACGAAGGTGTTTGTTAAGTGCTCTGTTGACCAGAATGAATGATGACTGAGTGTCTCTTAGATTGGTGTCCTTGCGTAAGGAACGGCATCCAGTTTCCTGTGGATGTTGATCAAGAGACTTTTTACAGAAACTTAAAAGAAATTTACAAGACTTGGAGAAAGACCTCATAGTAGACTCATTCTCCCAATGATCTGACATATTTTTAGCTCAATCTCAAGCCTCTGTTTCAATAATCACAGCTTTGTGATAGCTATTTACAGCCCACACATTGCCAGACACTACTGTTTCTGATTATAGCTTTACATTTGCTTCTTTTGAATTTAAATAATTTGTGGACCTTATCCAAGTGTCTGACTGAGTGTCATTGTGCCTGGTGATCAACGAGGAAAAGAATGAAACAAAATTATGGTGCTTGTCCTGAATGCTATGTTAAATCAATTACTGGAGGTGTAAGCTTGCTCCACTCAATAAAATAATTCATTTTCTTTAATTGAGTGAAATCTAAAAACTTGCCTTACCTTCTCTCATCTGTATCATTCACAATTTATTGTTGCTTCCAGACTGCCTAGCACCATACACTGGTAACTATTTTTGAATAAATTCAGTGTATTGAAGAAATGTCTATAATATGTAAAAGTACATTTTCTATGCAATTTTACTCTAATTTTTTTCTTTTCTGATTCTTCCTGGAAGTTTTAGTGTTTGCTGGGAGTTACAAATCTGGAGTTCCTAGTGCTTGTGCCTACAGTGTTAGTGGACCCAGGAATGAGTGTGGTGTCACCAGGCCTGCTATGTGTGAGGCTGTTCCGTCCAGAGCAATATGGTGACAACAGGACTGTCCTAAGCAGGTTTCTATTTGGTTTTAGGATGTCCCAACTTTTTGTTAGTGACATAGCCCATGAAGTCACAGGGGTTAGAGCTTATGAACCAGGAGCTTTTTCCTTGATTTCATGCTAAAATAGAATTATTTTTATCTTCTTACATCCCTCGTATGGTTATTGGTATTTTAAAATATTTTCCTGTGACATTTTTGGAGTTTTAGACTTTTAAAAGTTTTATTTATCCTTTTTATTTGCTTGCTTTCATAATGTATTTAATTAAATGCCATCTTCTGGACAATAGTGTATATAATTATAAAGCACTAAAACCAGTGAAGATTTTACATGATAAAAAACAAAGAACCCACTGTCGTTCTTGTTTAGCATTGTTCAAGAAGTGCTGGAAATACAATAAGGGATGAAAAGTAATAACACAGGTATTGAAAGATGGGGAGGTAAAATGTAATTGTTTGTAATTTGCTCGCTTACTTTGGTTTTCCAGTTAGGAAACAAAATCAAACATAAAAAGAGAAAAATTCAGTATTTAGCAGTGATTCTTAAAATATGGTTCCCAAGATCCTCACAGAGGTTTGAAAGGTCAAAGCTGTTTTCTTAATTGTATGTAGGTATTTCTGTCGTTTCTACTTGTTTTTATGAGTGGAGAGTGAAGTTTTCTGGGGACTCTGCAATATGCTTCCCTAATGAATTGAATAGAAGCGTATATTAAGACACAGCTTTTTTCTAGTAAGCCAGGCAATACTTTTACATGAATTAATAAAACCATTTTAAATATTAAAATTTCAAACACATAGCAAATGTTATTGATTCAAATAAATGAGAGCTCTGTGATTTCATCAGTAAATTTTGAGATGGTTTTCAGATAAAAATTTGAGGACTGGTGCAAAGAATAAGCAATATATATATGTGTATGTATGTACTTTAACAGTAATAAACATGAAATATATATCATTCTGTACTGTAGATTCTTACTATATTTTTTTAGTGGTAAGTTTGATTATAATAAAACTTTTTCCTTTTTAAATTAATTTATAGATTTCATGTATTTTCAATATATCATATTTAAAATTTGAAATATTTAGCATATTTCAGTGGAAATATGATAAACTTATGGACATGAAAATTTTTGCAAATTTTAACTGAATGAGTATAAAGTTTATTCAAGAAGAGAGTAGTAAGTGCAAAGAACATGTTTTCAAAGAATAATGGATATCTGTCTTATCTGTTATTAAAATTTATAATAGAAGTCAGATGAAAAGAACTATCTTGAAACTGTTATTGTGTACTGTGCATACGTGTATACATACATGTGTCTATGTGCATTTATCATAGGATAAAGGAAACACTGGTGTCTAGTATTACCATAAAAGATATATAAATGAATTTATTTCTAATCAGTTGTGTAATGATAAAATGTGATTGATATTAGAGGTACTGCTAAGCATTCATAAATTGTTAGGATGCAGGTGTAAACAGAAAACCTTCTTGGATAGATGTTTGCTATCATACATCAATCAAGTGCTTTGAAATACTCCTATTCTTTAATGTAGAAAATTTATTTCTGGCTATCTCTCCTGAGGAAATGTTCAAAAATGAGAAAATATTTTTACACAAATCTGTCTACAGGATGTTTTATAATAAGGCAAATTTTGCAAAAATGTATGTATCTATAATTTGGTCCATGATTAAGTAAATATCATAGTGGCAAAAAAATTTGATATGATATATATATATTTTTGCGGGGGGAGTTTGAGACAGGGTCTCGCTATGTAGTTCAAGCTGGCCTCAGACTCACAGTGATCCTCCTGCCTCAGCCTCCCAAGTCCTGGGATTACAGGCCAGCACCACTGTGCCTGTTCTGGAATATTTGTAAGACGAGGATGCATTTCGTACAATTGAACAATATAACAATAGAGAATACAATATTCATAGATCCAACTGTGAAAAAATATATCAAACTACTAGGACTCTGCATCTTAAAACATTAACAGTGGTTATCTCTGGATTCTGGAATTATAGATAATTTATTTCTTTAATGCCTTTCTGTATTTTCAACTAAGGAACATATATCACTAGAAATGAAAGCAGTACAATTCAGTGGACTTTACAGACAACTATTGAGGTTGTAATTCATATATTGAGACAAGTTGGACAGCTGTTGTAAGGATGAGGTTTGAAATGAGATCGAAATTCCTTGCAGTGCTTGGTTACCTGCTCTCTTCCGTGTGCTGTCATTTCCGTGGGTGGTACCTCCATCTTCAGAGCTCACTTGTTTACTGTCTATTTGCTCGTAAGCTATGTAGCTTTTCTGGATCTTTGATTTCCTTACCTATCAAAGGATACCCTTCCCAATTTTGAATCCTGGAAGTGGAATAATAAAGATGTGTAAAGCATGCCTTTCCAGCACAGATATCTTTTGTCTGTTTGTTTCTCTTCTACTATATGTTTCCTTCTAAAGCATTCGCTTTCCATTTGTGCTTCTGCGTCTTTTCCTTTACCTCCCAAGATTTGCGGACTGGGGAAGGATTTTAAGGTCACTCTTTTGTTCACCCCTTAGTACTGCTCGAGGCAGCATCCAGCCCTGCGGTGCCTGTGTGCCTGCGGCTCATTGCGGTAGACTCTGTAAGAAACTGCAGAAATTCAAGGGCTCGGTGTAACTGGACCGACTTCCACTTAGCAGTGACTTGCTACTGTCTTTTTTCTTTTCGCCTTAGCCTGTTTTGTGGGACTTTTTGCCATATGCTGTCTACAATTACAGATAACTCAGGCCTGGATGCGTATATTTAACATTTGAAATGATATGAGATTGGGAAATACATTTTCCAGTGAAGTATCATGTATTGTTTATGACAACTTTAATTTACAATCAGGTATTTTAATCTGTAACTAGTCTGAGGTGCTTAGTGGAAAATACTGTTATATTTAGTTGTCAATTCAAATGTCGCTAAATACATGAATGGATGGTGATGTGCATGCATATTGGTACAATATCAGAACACTTACACAGATTATTTACTTGATATCAAATGTCAATATCTTAGTATTTAACTGCTATCAAATTTTACAGTATAAAGTTTTAATCTGTGTGTACATTTTAATTAGAAAGGCAAAACCTGAGAAGTGATTCTCTGTCTACTTTGTCATTTCTGGGGTGGGATTTCTGGGGTGGGATGCCTCTGTGTGATTGATGTATACTGATAAATCTCTTTTTAAACTTGCAGCAAATAGTGGCAGCAATAAATGCAGGGATTATACCCTTAGGAAACACCTCCAATCAAATCAGTCACTGGGATTTGGGAAGCTCCTTCTTCTTTGCTGGCACTGTTATTACAACCATAGGTAGGAGACAACTTCCTTTGTGTTTTATTTTGGTATAGTTTGCAACTTAGAATTCATTTGTTTGAAAATTTTTATACAGTTGCTCAAAATGGTCGACTTAAGGTAGAAAACTAGACTATAACAAATTGATCTTCAAAATAGGCTTTACAAGTTTGATCTGAGGACTCATAGAAATGAATTAGTTATTTCCAAATACTGAGGAGGTTTGAAACATATATGAAAGTCTGAGCAACACAGTGGTCGTTTGACGGATACCCAGAGATATTAGGACTGGCTTGAACTGATGATTTCTTTGAGCAGATAGTTTTTAACTTTTTTGTGACTTTGTTTCTTAGTGTTACTATATTTCAACATTATTTTCACAAAGTTCTTATTTGATATCATATTTTCCAATTTGTAGATTTTAACTCTACATTTCAACAGGCTCTGTGTGTTGTTATATGGCTATGTACTGTGTTGACTTCAAAGTGTGTTTTTATATGTTATATTTTCCCCACAGCAAAACATATAAAAAGTTAACACAGCACTATAACAATTACAGAAAGCCCGGCAGTTGAGGTCTTTGATGTTTCACTTGCTCACGTTGTGCGTTATGTTAAAAGGGCCACATCGTAGAACTTGCTCTCAGTTTTGAGCTTGGTGATGCATATGTTCAAGATTTTGCAGCAGCAGACAGGGTATGTGTAGATGTCCCTCATGTTAATCAATCTTTCAGTGTCCAGGCTCTATCTAGAGGCTGGAAATACTTCATATTCTGTGAGATGTGGGAAGGCTGATAGCTTTTCTGTTCATGGAAGGAGGTGAATTTTAAGAAAGAGAAGAAATTTACAGCTATGAGTGAATTTCAGGTGGAAGAAAATATCAGTGCAAAGGGGAGTTTTCCCTTCCACATATACTGGCAATAAGATTTTCTGGTATAGAACCGATCTCTGGTTATGGGGTGAATTAAGATTCTGAAAGGCTCAGTTTTATTCTTTAATGCCATCCACAAATTACAAAGAGGGTAACATTTTCAGATCTGTTTTATATTGAAGTCCTCAGGGAGAGAAAATAGAGTATGGGTGAATTCTTGCTCAGGTATTTGTATTGTCCTGTAATTATATGAATGCATGTAGCATCTCTGCGTTGCATCACTTGCCAGCAAAATGAGTACCTTAGCCTGCTGGATTGTACCTTTGTTAGGAGGTCAGGAAACAGTGTTTACTTGTCCATTTCCATCAGCTGGGTCAAATGTTGTGTGGCTGTGAAAATGTGGAAGGAGGGCAACCTTGATTTCTGACCATAATAACAGGTTAAGTTCAAGGCTTAGACATGTTGGCCATTTCTACCCTGGAAATAACTACTTATTGTGTAAACTACTTAGAATTTGCACAGGGAAAAAAATCTCACAGACCGAGTGAGAATGGTTTGCTGCTCCCCAATGAAAACTCTGAAGGCCAGGTTATAACTTATCATGACCTTTTCTAAATTATTTTGCAACAGACTAGGTCATTATACGGACTTACTGTTGCATCTTATGTTTATAAACAGTCTCATTTTTGAATTCCCCAACTCAGTAACTTTTATGGACATGTACATCAATGCATGAAAAAATAAACAATTATTACCAGCTTCACCCCAAATTATAGCCATTAAATACTATAGCCAATTATTTAGGTAGCTGCCTAGATCTCCTGCTCTCTCATCTCAGTATTTAGGCTTAGGTGGCTTATGTAATTCTGAGTCACCCACATGCAGACCTTTTACTTCATGGTCTTTTTACTCCTAAGTCAAGGTCATCTCCTTCGACCTTGACCTAGATTATGAATGAGGACAGGGTGAAAATTTTGGCTTTTTTCCAAAGTGTGCATTTGACATCCTAATTATGATTACATCAATTTAAAGTATAATTTTTAATGTTGATAATGATACTAATTATGAGCTTTGCAGTGTATCCAGTATCAGCAGTCATAGAAGTTGGAACCTGTTGTACTAGCTACATTGTGTTGACCATTTTAAAAAGTACAATTAGATAGAGTTTTGGAAAATGCAATGTAGTGGCTTTTTTGTAGGGTACCTACTATATAGACTGTGACATGGAGCTAGACTGGTCAGCGTTGTCCTAGGTTTTCTATTCCATCTTATCAGTTTGTCTAAGAACCATGCAACCATGCAGTCATGACTCTTACTATTCATTGGACATGTTCCCAAGGAAGTTTAGTTGTACAAGTTAGCCTATTACAGTTCAAGACATAATTTTAGGCAGTCACTTCATAGACCTACATGTTCTTTCTAACGTTGTGTCCTTCCAAACTTTTCACAACTTCCGTTCCACAATTACACTGACTGAAAGGTGTCTTTGAGCTCCTTTCTTGTGTACCCTGCTTGTGTGCACCAGCCAGTCCCGCCACCCCTGATTTTGAGGTGGGTCCATTGTGCAGCTGCTGTGCACCTTCAACTGCCACCGTTTCAGTCCAAGCCAGTAACATCTTACGTCAGTGTCATTGCAGAAACCTGCTCGGAACTCTTCTGTAGTTTCCAACTCAGACACCAAAAGCCACTGTCCCTGGACTGTCTCCCTAGTAAAATGCAAATTCTACAAGGTTAAGTTGTGGTTATTTGAATTTTTGTGTATCTTCTATGCCTGACACATAGTGAACATTCAATAATTATGCTTCAAATTAAAAATAAACATTCTAAGTGGCATGAGCTGAGGAATATTGACTATTAACACTAAGTTGATACGTATTATACTAACTTCTTAACTCATTAAACAGGTTTCTTCAACAGCTTATTTGCTAATCAGTTTGTTTAACAAATAATAAAAGAAAACTATTGCTCTGCTGCTATAAAAAAATCAAAGATAAATTTCTTGACCTTAAGTTGCACATAGATCCACTGGGGATACCAGCAGGCAGACATTCACAGTGCAGACTACAGGTGCTGTGAGCTAGGAGCATGTAGTGGGCATGTACGGGGTGGTACTTCACGTAGGTGTCAAGGAGTGAGGATGGAGCAAGGGACACTCCTTTCTTTAGAAGTGTTGTCCTAATTGAGACTGGAAAGAGATGAGTGAGTTACCCTGTGGACACAGGTGTAGAGGGAGTATTTTGGGCATCTAGAGCTCAGGTGGAGAAGGTGAAGGGTGAGAAACAATGCTGTGGGTTGTCTGTGATTGTTGTAGTTAAAGGGATCTATCCTCAGGATGGTGTAGATCAGCATCATTAGAAACAACTCCTGTTAGATCCTAACTACTTTTGCCACCTCTTGGAGAAGAAGGAAGTAAGGACACATTCCCTGCTTGCAGTCTCATATTGGAGATAAAATTTTCACGTGTGGCTGGACGTGGTAGAAAACGCTTAAAATCACAGCTCCTGTACTTGGGAGGCCAGAGCAGGATGATCAGAAGTTTGAGGCCAGCAAGTTAGTGAGATCCTGTCTTAATATAATAAAAAGGGATAGAGATACAGCTCAGCACTCCTGGGTTCCATTCCCAGTGCTGTGCTTGCCTGTGCGCATGCTCGCGTGCACACACACACACACACACACACACACAGCTTATGGAAATGAAATAACTGGAGAACAACAAGAAATCTGTCCAGATGAACGCTGCACAGAACAATGCTGTAAGTGCTGTAAGAACTGAGAAGGAAGGACAGTACGTGAGAACAGGGCTTGGGAGGTGAGGCCGCAGTGAAGTTGGAGTTGAGCTGTGCTCTGAAGAAAGCACTATGCAAGCTGGGGAAGGGAAACTGCCTCACAGTCTGGGGCACGACTAAATGAAAATACCAAGTAGTAATTATCTTGATTTATTTTGGGGATAGAAAAGCATTTGAGTAAACGAAGGAGTTGTTTAAAGGGATAGTGGGCAGTTTTATGGGATGATTTAGATGGGAAAGTGTGGTTGAATATAATTTGGCCTTTGAGGATTTTGTTCTACTGTAATAAAACAGAGTATGGTTTTTCGGGGGCAAGTGAAATGGAAGGTGAGCAGTGATGACGTTAGATGTGTCTGCCAGGAAGAGGGTAAGCAGGAACCCAGAGCTCATCTGAGAGGGCAGTCAGGACGCCGCAGCTGTGACCCGGCAGGCCAAGAAGGAGGTGAGGGCACATGCCAGGGTGACGGCAGCTGGTGCGGAAGGAAGCAAGTAAGACAAAATGCTGAAAGAATGAGACGCTGAACCAAGCAGACTGGTGACTAATCTGACTAATCAGATGAAGAGAGGGGAGTCCGGATGTTGAAAGTCAAAGGAATATTTAGGCAGCACACTTGTAATTCTCAGAGAGTGCTAGTCGGGCCTGTTAGAAAAGAGCTAAGCTTTTACATGTGATGTCATTTTAGGAAGCTCTGTAATAGAAGTTTGGCCCTTCAACTTTTACTTGCCAGACTGGGAACACAAGATGGTTACGCTCTCTCCTTGAGTTTGCGTTAGGGTCCAAAAAAAGACCAATGACCAATCAGAACGTGAATAAACAGATCCCACATGAGCGCAATAAATACCACCGAAGAAACTCCTGTGCGGTAACTGAGAGAAACCAGGGCAGGGCGTGGGAGGTGTTCTGAAGAGGCGGAGGCAAGCACTCTCTGAGGACGTGACATTTCATCTGAAACCTGAAGGGTGACAAGAAATCAGCTTAGGAGAGACAAGTGGAAAGACGAGTTCAGTGAGAGGGCGCAGCACGGGGGCCGCTCCTGCCGGGTGATGGGGGATGCAGGTGAGGCTGGGGGCCTGCCCTGGAGGCAGGGCTTAGGGAAGAAGTGAGGCTGGCAGGAGAAGCAGGAGCTGGTGCCCCTGGGACTCAGTAGGTCGTGCACGGTAATGTCCTAAAATCAGTGGGAAGCTGCCATGAGGTCTAAGCAGACAAGAGCAGCGCTGGGACCTCAGAGGGCAAAAGCAGAAGCAGGAGGACCAAGGAGAAGTATGGTGGGAATTCGAGGGTTTGAATCCCCAAGGCACTGTGTGGAGAGCCGGGCCATGAAGGCGTGGCCAGGTTGTGAGGCTCCGCCATCTTTTGTGGAT